AATTCAATGACTAGAAGATGACTATTGGGAGTGGAATAAATCTGCACAAGAAGCTAAGTGTGAGGAGGGAGGCACAAGCAGTAAAAATGAAAGTGAAACCTTTTGAGCTGAATACTCCACAAGTCTTTAGATCTTTTATTGTATAGCCTTATCATATTATTCTTTCCCTGTAGAAGAAAACCTGTAATAGCAGCAGTCTGTAAAAGAGATGCGGTTTGGGAATATTTTAATGAAGTTTCTCTGCCCACAGGAAAGGCAGGCTTGCATGCAGATTATGTAGAAAACCATGATTTAAATCGAGTCTTACTGATCAGTGAGTTAAATCATGATTTAACCCATGCCAAGTCTCAATGAGGCAAGACCAGAGACAAGGCAGGTATGTAGGACCGCTCGTGATCCGTTATCTTTGCACCCCAACCTTCAAGGCATATTGTGGCCCTCCAGATGTTTGCAATCCTTGCCAGTGCAGCCAGAGGTGAGGGTTGGTAGAAGATGCAGTCCCACACGGAGAGCCACATACTGCCCCTAAGAGTGAGGTCCATGCTCATCTTCTCAGGAGGAAGCCTTACTGTGTTCAGTGCGACTTGCTCTCAGGTGTGTAGTGTAGATCACTGCAAACTCAATCTTCAAAGCAACCCTGCAAGACAGATCTGGATGCGCAATCATGCGGCATCCACTGCGATGCGCAGATAATTTGGGAACTGGATGCGAGTCTCTGCAGCTGAGCTCCAATACACTGAACTCTCCTACTTAGTACTAGTTAAGATGAACTCACAAACAGCTGGATAGTATAACCCTTTCTGCCTCCCATTCAGTATCTTTAAATTCAGGTAAATATAATTATCAGTTAAGTAGGATTCAATATTTCTTCTCCACTCTATAGTGGGCTAAGGAATTGTGGTTGCCCTCTCCCCCCAAGTCCTCTGCACATGAAGCTACTTTGGTGAGAAGGAGCATTTTACCTCTTCTTTCACTAGGCTTTTGAGAACACCAAAAACGACACAACAGCCTGTTGCCGCTTTCAGCAGCCCCACTGCCTGTAAGAGACAGCCATTTTGAGCCAGCACATGAGAAAATCAAACCACTTCTTTCTGCAGTTTGGAGTGACAAAAACATTCTCTACTTCATCACCCAACTTCTTCAAAAGGACTCGGAAGGAGTGCAATCATTTATCCTCAACACAAAATGAGAGAAAACCACTTGAGTTCTCTGTGACACACACACAATTAATCAGAGAAAATGTTTTTCACCTCACACTGGATATCTAGTCTGGCACAGTAATTAGTGTTGAACTGGGACTGGAGGGAGCCGGGTTCTAGTCCCCCTTCAGTCATGGGGAACACAGTGTGACTTTGGACCAGCTACCTCATGTGGTCATTTTCAACCCTCATACTGCAGGAGGATCAAGTCAGCCGCCTTGGGATCTTAGAAAAAAGAGGTGGAACAGAAATATAATAAATATATACAAGCATCAAACAGCAGTCTCTATAATTCTGTATGGTTCCCAGGGGCAAACTGGTGCTATTAGGGAGTCCTGCAAGCAACAGGGTATAAATACCCTTACCCTAACCAGGGTGCAGGCCCATACTACTCAGCCAGCAATCAAGAGCTATGCAAGTACAGAGTTCAGAAATGAAACCACTAGCAAAGAACAAAAAGTTTAATCCTCGGTTAAGCATTATAGAAAAGGCAAATCATCCAGTTAACATCTCTATATAATATGCTCAGCTTTACAGATTTCCTTCTTAAGTGGAAGTGGAACATCACTTCCTGAAAGCAGTTTCTGAAAGTAGTAATAAAAGCACACAGCTGCACAATCTGCCGTCCGCAAAAAGCTTAGCAAGCTATTCTCACTGTCGGTCTCCATTTTCACTTTGCAGGGGTGGTTTTATCAGAATTCTATGTGAGCCGTCCTGAGGCTTTCGTGACAGGATGGCATATAAATACTTTAAATAAATAAATAAAATTCTGAGGAAATGTACCAATAGAGGAGGAATTTATCCCCTGAATACATCCCACCATGCAGCAATTCTCCATATTCTCCCTCAGACCTCCCTCAGACCTTTGGTAACTGGGAATGTGGCGACGGAGAGGGCTTTGCTGTTTTAAAGTACCACAGAGCACCGCCTTATACAAAGTCAGACCAGGAGTCCACCGAGCTCAGCCCTGTGGATATTGCCTGGCTCCAGCTCTCTGGGGCTTCAGGCAGGATGCTTTCCTAGCTCAACCTGGAGGAAAGGCAGGGACTGTGCCAGGACCTTCTGCAGGCAAAGAACATGCTCTACTGCTAAGTGACATTCCCGCCCCATAGCACCCCATAGCACATGACCCAGAAAAGCAAGAGATGCCTCCCTTGAAGCATTCACAAGCCATGGAGATGTTTTTTACGACTATTAAGTAAACTCATGAAATAAGCATCTTTGGAATACAAGTCGGTCACAGGAATCTGCACATTCAGATTCTTCCAGTGCAATCCTATGCGTGCTTACTTAGAAGTAAGTTTATGCTCAATGGGGCTATACCCAGTTAATTGGTCACAGGATTGTTCCAGAGGTGAAACGTGACTCACTTGTCTACTCCTAATGACACCTTATAATTAATTCCTTAAGCCTGACAAAACAAGCCAGACATTCTGTCCACACCTTAGAGGGAAAGATATTTTAGAATAGATACTAAGAAATCATCAACGCCCACTAACTCTTGGCAGCCTTTTCAGGGTGAACACCCTCTTATCACCATAAATGGAAATGCACATTTGCACATGTGAACTTGCCTCCAAAAGTGTGCACTCGTCGCTCTCTCAAGCAGAAGAGGAAAATCAATCTCTGTGTTTTCCTCACGCGTGTCTAGTACTATGGACAAGGGTATGGAGCTGAGGAAGACTATCTCCTTCTGAAAAGCAACATTTTCTGCACCTAGGAATACCCTGTGAAAAACCTATTCCTGAACAAAAGAGGATAAAAGGCTTCCTCCATATTTGAAAGAAACCTTTTCCTTATAAACAGCAGACAGTAAATATCATCTTGCAATCATAACATTTCAATAAATGCCTTAAAGAAAAGGAACCAGAGAAAATGCTAAGTTATTTCTTCTTGGAGAATTGCCTCTTGAAATGCAAATATGCTGCGAGGCTTTAGGAAGAAGCCTTTCCATCACTTGAATCCAACTCCTGGCTCCTACTCAGACACAGCATCCTACTGCTTAAACACAGGGCAGTAAGGCACTTTGTAGGAATGACTCAGTGCCGCTGTAGCCCATTCTCTTTGTCTCTCTCTCATCCCACCCCACCTGTGAAAATGAGTCCAAATCTTCTTCACTACAGCCAGTGGAGAGGGGGGCTAATAATGGGAAAATATTCTGAGCAGGCAACAGTTTCTGTGTGATACCTTGTTGCCTCAGAAACAGAGCCACTGCTGAGAATCTATGTGAGAATGACAACTGGGCAGTTTTAACATATGGAAACAGAGATGCATCCTGGTCAGCCTGAAGATGCAGTCATATGTGACCCACTTTGATGAGCTCTTCCAGCTAAAAAAGACACATTAACCAGTTGTAAGAAATGCCTCTGTCCTACCTCCACCCTGCCATTTTTTGTCTGCAAATTGCTCCTATCAGGGAAGAATGTGCTTGCTCTACATATTGTGGAAAAGGGGCATTGCAATTTGCTGTTCCCCAAAACGACATGTCTCTGATCTTCATATCCTAGATGAGCCAAACGACCACAGCAGTGTTGTTTTAAATGGCTATTCTTTCTACTGTTCCTATCACATAAGTGACCTGATAATGTGGGACATAGCATCCGCCTCCGGAAACACCAGACATTATACAATTGTGCCCTGTTCACCAAACTGATACGGGGTGGCCCCATGTGTGAGGATTTCCAAGAACTTGCCACCATGCCCATCTGAAAGATAATAGACCCAGAAGCAACTACCTGTCCTGCAGCCTGCCGGCTATCATTTACAGAACCCCCCTCTGGTTCTGGTGGATTTCTACATCACTCACTCCAAGACCTATGAAATGGATGAATTCCTTTCACTCTGAGTGAGGATTCAACAGACAGATCTCCAGTCTAATAAGGAGTTTCTCCAGACACAAATGGAATTCCAGGCCAACGTCTCATCATTTCCTGACAGCCTCTTCCCTTCCTAAAACAAGGTTCTTCTTGAAGCTGATGCAACCAAGGAGCTCAAATACCTCAAATCAGGAAACCTGGTTTGACTCTCACCTGTGCAATGGATTTATAAGGTAGTCTTAGGCAAGCGATTCTTCTCTTAGCATCAATTACTCTTATCTAGAATATTAGGCCAAAAATTAAACTTACCATCCATTGTTGCAAGATTTTAACTAAGTGAGGCAAAGAAAACACTCGGAGCACTTGCAAGTGCTATGCAAGCACTACGTGGAGAACGAAACAGTTATTTGCTATGGGTCTGTGGAAGAATACCGTTAGCCTGGCTCTCATAGGAATCTGAGGACACCTAGCTACTTGGTTCCCAGACTCCAAGAGCTATGCTGACCGAAGCACCAGATGTTCGCTGCAGGGCCAGATCAGTGATGCTGACTGAATTCCTAAAAGCTTAGCACAGATTTTTCAATGTTTACCTCCACCCCACAGCAAACCTCATCCTCTAGGTCATGCCCTTTCCATGGTAGTCCTTCTATGCCGCGCCTTGGTGACAACAGGCAGGGTGGCTGCACAATTCCAGCCCCCCATTCTACGGGGAAGGCACTCGGGGGTATGCCTTCACATTAACCAACAAAACAGAACGAGAAACACCCGCACGTTGCAGCAGCTTCGCTCCTCCACTATCAGAGACAAGGGGGGAAGGAAAGCGACACTCGCCCGCTCCCTCATTGCAAAAGGGGCAGTTCGGCGCCCTCGTGACATGCCCCTCCTTGCCCCCATCGGCGCCCTCAGGGATGAGAGAGCCCCCACGTCGCTGGCCACGCGGGGGGGAGCGTGAAGCCGCCCTGCCCCCCGCCGCCCCCTCGCTCACCAGGCGGGCGGCCTCGGCCCACGTGCGCTCCTTCTTCCTCCTCTGCTTCATCTCCTTCATCTTCGGCCGGGCGGGCGGGCGGCGAGGAGCCGAGAGAAGGGAGGCCAGGCCAGGCCAAGCGCGGCGGCGGCGGCGGCGGCGGCGCGGGCGGGACGGGCGCTCCCGCAGGCAGGCAAGCGCGGGAAGGCGGGAAGGAGGCCGCGAGAAGGGGGTAGGGCAGGCGGGCGACGGGGCGCGCGCGCGGGGGGCAGCCGTTACTCAGGCGCGGCGGGCGGGGCGGGGCGGGGCCGTCGGTAGGCCGGCCGGGCGCGCGCGGGGAGGGGGAGGGCGCGAGGCGGCCGAGGCCGAACCGGAGGGGGGCGAGGAGAGGCGAAGACCGGGGGCGAGGCGCTGGCGGGCGGCGCGCGCTAAGGAATGCTGGCGGGGCTGAGGGGGCGGCGGCGCCGGCTCAGGCCCGACATAACAACGGGGGGTCAAAGGTCTCCGAAGGGGCGGGCGGGAAAGGAAGAGGAAGGGAGGAGGGAGGCCGGACGGACGGAGCGAGAGTGCAGCTCGCGACGGCGGCGCGCCAGGCCCGAACGGTGGCCGCGGAGGGACAATCCCCTCGGAAGCCAACAGGCGCGGGAGAGAGGCGGGGAGGGGTGGCTGGAGGGCTTTGAAGGAAAACAAACCGCGGAGGCTGCCGGGACACGTAGTCCCGTGGAAAATAGGCGGGAACCGCTCTGGAGAGGGACGCAGAGGCGAGGCGAGCGTCCGCGGCCAGGCTGGGCGCTGCGATTCCCAGCATGCGCCGCGGCAGACGGGGGGGGAAATCCCTCCGCCCGCTGTCGCCGCCAGCCCAGCGCTCGTGCTCCGGCCGAGCAGCTGCCGCAGTGCACGATGGGGCCGGCCGCAAAGGCGGGGAGTGGGCGAGGACATCCGGGCACTGGCGCTGGGCCGCGCGGCCTTGCTCGCCTGCGTGCCGCCTGCGGCCCCGGCCCCTCGTCGCGTCCCTTGCGGGCCGGCCCTAGCGCCGCGCAAGAGCGGTCCTTCCCCGGCGGGGCGGCGGGGCCCGAGGCCCCCGGAGGGCGCCGAGGCGGGTGAAGCGGAAGCCGGGCCATTGGCCTCTCCAGGCCCTTGCGGGGAACGCGCGGTGGGAAGGGAAGGGCCGCGCGGCGCGGCGCTTCCTCGGAGTGAGGCGGGGCCGCTGCCACGCAACCGGCGGGGCGCGAGCGGGGTGGCCTGGCCTGGCCTGGCCGCGGCGCTGCATTCGCCGTCTGAGGTGGGCTGGGACCCCTCCCCTCCCGGGCGGGGCGCTCGCGGGGCGACCCCAGGCTGGCCTGCCTCACATGGTTGCGGAGGACGATGTAGGCCGCCTCGAGTTCCTTGGGAGGTCGAAAGGCGGGATAGAAGTGCAACGATTTCCGAAGTCCAGTGCTCTTGAGGGCACTTCCACCGTGACAGTAAGAGGCTCTCACCCGCCACTTCAAGTGTTGGCGGAAGCTTCCTAGGACAGGGCACCCTCCTTTTTCGGGAAGCGTGCAGGGAAGGTTTTCCCGTGCCAGCCATCGGAAAAGAGCCCAGGAAGTGGGATCTAAAGAAAGGAGCATCCCAGGACGGAGGTCTTTCTTTCCTCTGCAGGAACAAGGCCACGCACAAGCTCATTTGTTTATTACCAGATTTATATCCTGCCTTTTTCTTATAACGAACAGCTTACATTCTTCTCTTCCTGCTCTCATTCTTATCCTCACCAGAACAACCCTGTGAGGTAGGTTGGGCTGAGAGTCCCTGACTGGCCCTGAGTCACCCAACTGGCTCCATGGCTGATCAGGGACTAGAATCCAGATTGCCTGAGTACCAGCCCTGCGCTCTTACTGCTGCCACCACACTGGCTCTCAGTTCAGGGAAATAGGGACAGATAAGTCTTGGAAAGCGGACTGGATCCTTTCGGGGTTGGGAAACAAAAGTCCTCACGAAGAGTGTGTATGTAGCCTGTGGCCACTCCTGGATGGGTGGTCTTGCTGACAAGAAGCACCTTCTCAGCCCTATCTGGATGTTTCTAAGGCTGGATCCTTAGAAGATGGTTCAGAAACTTCAGCTAATGAAAAATATGTCCACCTGTATGTTGGGGGGAGGGGGCATTAAGGCAAAACATGTAGCAATGATTTTGCTCCAAATGCCCCTGTCTGGACCCAATTCAAAATGTGAAGTATCCCATTTCTCCTTCTATAGCTGCTTACAGTCAAGCAATAAAAACAAAAACCAAGGGGAAAGAGGCTTTATTTTTAATTATTAATATTTTACATACAATAAATCCAATTGATTTTATTACACTTCTTTAGGAGCACTTTTACATTCCTAGATGAGAGATTATTACAGATACAAGCTGTAAAATTTATGACCAGAAAGGAACTATTGACATCTTTGCTGTTTATGTACAGAGAAATAAGAGTAGGCAGTTAAGGTACTCCCAAGGATCTGAGAAATCTCACAGAAGACAGTTGTGTCCATCATGTCCAGACCACCAGGAAAGGTTTCAGTATAAGCCACTTTTCAGTTGGGCTTGAGCACAAACCATACATGGAAGATTGGACCCATTGTGTGAAACCAGAACAGATTAAAATCAGCAAGCAACCCAACTTCCAGAGCCAAGCTGCTGAACATCCACACAATTGACCAGTATCATGCAAGCATAGGATCATGGCCCTGACATTAACTTTTCTCGTTTGGCTGGAGGATTACCACTGGGAGAATTGTACCTTGAGATCCATGGCTTCTTTTAAAGCCTGGACTATAGAGTCAAAATATAACTCTAGAGTCAAAATATAAAAAACTAAACACATACCTTTGCAGAGTGAATATTAATAGGTCAAAATTTGGTGATGCAGGACAACTGTATTTGAGACTTTCTAAATAATGCATCCTACCTATTTAAAGGCTGGGAAAGAGGGGTGTTTGCTATGAAAATTTAAGTGGCATCAAGGAGTTTCATGTTAAGCTTTTAAAGCAAGTGCTTTAAATGCCATGTGCTCCATATCATCTGACATTTGGCCCTCAACCCCAAGAGCTCCTTTTACTGAATTAAGTGGGGAAAGAAAGTCAATATCCAGTTACATGGATTGTAGCAAATCTGTTTCGGGCAGAATAGCTGTACTCCTTTCCTAGGACTGCTGTCCAAGTCTTCAAATAGACCAGGCAAGTCTGGCACACCCATTTATTAGGGCAATTCTGCATGTGCGTCGGGTTTAAATAATAAACTCCCTTACCAAGAAATACCCTGCAAGAGCAACACAATGAAGCATGAGATGTTGGGAATCTTTAGACATATGAGAAAGCGTTTACTCTGATCCTACAATGTTTCAAGTTATAAATAAAGCAATGAAGAGGCTATTGGTTTCAATTCCTCTTTGATCTGCCCTGAACTGCTGCCAAGTGATTTCACTCAAGTTAACCAATAACTGGCCTGCCCTGCCTGTTCACACTAAAAATCAACTGCTAATAGATATTTCCTGCGTGATGCTCAAAACTAAATGTTTCATTCTAACCAGAACTACACCCTAACAGAAGTTCATCAGGGTGATAAATTCCACAGATGCACCGCTGGACCTTTGTCTTTGGATGTACAACCACTGCTTCTCAGTGACATAAGCCATACAACCCTTTTCTTCAATAACAGGAAAGGGGATTAAAAGGATGGGAGTGGGGTCGACAGGGAGAGCAGATTCTTACATATTGCAAAAGTCAAAAAAGGATCTTTGTTGCAACCAGCCCAGCCTACTCAAAGGCAAAGCCTTTGGCCCATGTGACAGCAACACCCAAGAAGCCTCACTGAGAAGATGTTCCACGGATCCACAGAACTGGCTGTTTTGTTAAAAGCAGCACTTGAGAAATCCATCCTGTGATGTAAAACACACAGGGCCTATTTCAGCAGCTCCGGGCTTCCTGAGGCAGCATGCCAGCAGGATGCTTCTCAGGGTGTCCTTGGTCAAGGGATCAGAAGCCATGGAGTTCGTATACCCTCGAGAGGATTTCTCAGAGAAGGAGGGCACCAAGCAAAGGCCATATACAGTGAGCATATTTCAAAGATCAAGCAAATTCGCATACGTACAGACATGCACGCACGCAGCAAGATCTAAGAAGGGCCATTAAAACATTCAGAGAGGAAGTCGGTGAAAAAAGTATTCACAAAAATATATTCACAGTACAACATCAACCAAAAAATAACTGAATTCTCAATATACAACCATCTGAAACTTACAAACTGAACTGCAAAATGATACACAGGGGTGCACTTTCTTCAGCCTTTTGACCTGGTCTAGTTTAGCAGCATTGCATTTCCCACACATGGCTAAGTGACCTGCTTTGCCCATAGGGTTGCTTTGAAAGAGGAAAAAAAACGAGTCTCTCTAAAGCAGGAGTTTTAGTGTGAATCAGAACTACATTCAGCACCATTCTTTTCTGCTCAAACCTGTATTTCATCCTCATTCAACTGGGAAGATTCAGGGCTCAAAACGCTGAAAGACCTTGTACGTAAGACAGGATGAGAACGAAAGGCAACTCCGGTGGCCAGCCAGTCTCTGTTCCCAGAAGGGCATTCTGCAGTTGCTAGGAGAGGATGACCCTGGAAGAGGCTCACTTGCACGAGGAAACTAGAATAGGTCTCAAGAAGGCACACCTGCCATCTGGACAAGGGAAGACGACAAAGCAGCAGCCAGATAGGCCCCAAAGGAAAGGTATCTGGTGGAGCAAAGCTGGCTGGCTGGCGAGCCGAGAAAAGACGCTAGTGTGTTCAATGGTAGACAGACGTTGTGGTGAACAAGGTGAACCCTGTGCATTGCGGCGAGGTTTCCAGGTGTTCCACCTAGAACAACACTTGCCAGGCCTTGTAAACAGGTAAAGGAGTTATTAAATTTCTATTGCTTCTATTCCAAAGGGCAAGCTTTCAAAGCCCCCCTTTGGTCTGCTTTTCTAAAGGGAAACATGTCTACCTAGCTGTGGGACGCATTTCGGTCTCACCTCTTCCTGGGGTCCATAGATACTACCCCCCAAAATAAAAACCGAAAGTGCCAATCTTGTGATGGAAAGCAAGGAAATGTTATATACCGTGGCCGGATAAATCCTCTTGGCGTTTCTCAGCCTCATTCATGCTGTTCGCTTCTTGGAGTTCCACAGTGGTGGCTCCACAGAGGCGACTGTGGACTCCAGTCCATCGTCCCAGAGGCAGCAGAGCCTCCAGGGCGGGAAGGGAGGGCGGCGGGGCAGGCATGGCCCCTATGCTTCTTGTTGCATCTAACACACACACTAATGTACCTCATGCATTTCTGATTTCCTAACTAAAGTCTCTTTTCCCTTAGAGACCAACTGCCAGAGGGAAAGTGAATTCTGCCACATCGGGTAGACACCCACCTGGAACACACGGTGCTAAGCACAGGCCAGTTCAGCGGCAGAGAGGCGCCTGCTGCTGCTGGTCAAAAGGAGCTGTTTCGGAGTTTGGTCGTTAAGTCCCCCTCCAGGTGTCTTACTTGCCCCAGCTCCTGAAAGGCAAGATGCAAGCCTGGCCCTGGCAGGGAATTGCTGGGTTCTACTTGGGTACCAACCCACGAGACTGTGGGTAGAGCTGAGACCCAGAGGTGCTGGAGGAACAGCCTCCAGATCTCCTTCCAGTTTTAGGTCTGAAAAACATAAAAACAGGATCCAATTACTGAAGAGCAAAAAATCGAAAAACAACAAAATGGGGATTACTTGCCATTTTGCATATAGAACAATAAATATTTGTTTGTTATAAAGTAATCTATTTTCCTGACTGCTTATTACAAATTACTATCAAAAGTTACCCATCTCATGCCTTTGTGATGGACAGGCCATACTGCTTAATAAAATTTCCATGTCTTCTACTGGTAGTAAAGTAGATACTGCAAACATCTGCGTTTTCCTTTAATGGCCCCTTTTAGGGTAAGGAGGACATCCCAAGCCTCCCATTTTTTCCTGTGCTTTAAAACCTTTTATAAAAATTTACTTCTCTGCCAGATACCGACTTCTGTACAGAAACCATTCCCGTAGTTCCCTTGGCCCAGCTCTACCAAATTCAGCCCCGAACTGGCTGCTCAGAGCCTAGGTCTCCTCAACCAAGGGCAGTCTTCTCAACATCACACCTCACCTGGATTTTGACTTCTTGTTCGATGTACTCTCAAAAGTGGAGGCGTCCACTTGAATCTCATCTTCATCTTGCAGCGCGGCTTCCAGGGCAGCCTGGACTTTGGGCGCGATGGCTGGGCCCTCGTAGTCCCGTGTGGTCCGGCTGGGCATGTCGAGCTCCAACAGCACAATGTTTTCTGCCTGTGTTTGCGGAAGCAAGAGAGCTCAGGCACGTTGGCAGACTCAAACAAAGCCGTCCGTGCGCATCATGCCTTACAGGATGATGTGCGAGAAACCCGCACGGAACTCCTGATCTATCATTCAAGATGGAGCATGCGGGGAGAAGAGAGGAGGGAGGTGGAAGAATGCAGGAGCAGCACAGAGAGGTTTGCCTTCAGGTAGACCATACAAGCCTAGGCGGTGTTTTGGCCGGGGCACGCTACAGGGTTTGCAGGAAATCTGACTTTTCAGCCCGAATCTATGGAAGGAAGCGTGTGCCTATCAGGCAGGGGTTCCAATTATAAGGCTCAACCAGGAACAAGAAACAAGAGGCTGTTTAAAGCCACAGGATGTCTTCAGACGGAGAATGGAGGCAGAGATGGAGGAGTGAGAGTTGCAGGCAAACACAGCTGGACAGAAGGGCTCCACTCCTTCAACAGCAAAGTCTAGGGCCTTCTTTGTTAAAATACCCATGCGCCACCTTCTTGTGCCAAACCATTTTGAGGCAGCTCACACACACATCACAACATTTCAATATAGCCATGCTTGAGCGATTTGCTACAAGATTGATCTTACTGGATTATTGTGTTTGAAAACTAGCCAGTCCGATAAAAGCACTGTACGAGTTCTACGTTGGTCCAAATGACGTACACAGACATACTAAGGGAAGAATAACTTTCAAGGGACCAAAAGGGGAGCAAATTCTCAGAAGAGAGGTCCAGAACATCATTGGAAACTGGGGGCTTGGGCAGGAGGACTAAACATCTCCAAAAACCACCAACCAACGAGCCGTGTAAGTATTTCAGCGAGCAAGAACTGTTGCACTGAGTCAGAAAACCAAAGAGCTCTGTCTCACCCAGAACTCTTTGAACCAGGAGCTCCAGGGAAGATTACACCACAGGCACCAAGGAGAGGTTCATCTCCGTAGAAACCCCAGCCTTGTGGTGGCACACACAAAGCTTTATCAGAACATGGAGGCTGTGGCCCAGCTGCCATGAGTAACAGCTGGACAAACACATCCACCTGCTTATGTATCATGTTGCTGGCCACGGCAAACCTGTGTGGCAGTGAGCTCCGTCATTAGCCACAGGTTCCCTGAGAGGTGAAGAGGAAGAGGAGGAGTTAAGTATTCGATTGTACTAGTAGGATTTATTGCCACTTTATTGGTATTTGGATGGTCAGTTTTTGTAAGCTGCCCTGTGTCCCTGCTTTGGAGGAAGGGTTGGAAACAAGAAATGTGAAAATGTAGATATAAATCAGGCTCAGGATGCAATTTCATGCATGTCTAGACAGGAAACAGTATAGACATACTGTTTCTCCCACGTCTCCCACGTGAAATGATTCACACAGCTTAACACTCCTGTTAGCGAGGGGCCTTTCGAATCTGGGGAGGCTGATTGCTTCCCTATTTATTTCCACATGGTTCTTATTCTTACAGGATCCTAGAAGAGTAGAGTTGGAAGAAGCCATGAGGGCCACTGAGTTCAACCCCCTGCTCTTGCAGGATACCACGTTACACCACCCACTCAGATGGCTGTCCAGTTTCTTCCTGAAAGTCCCCAGTGCGGGAGAGCCCACCACCCCTCCAGACAGCTGGTTCCACTGTCGCATTGCTCTGACAGTGAGGAAGCTTGTCCTGATGTCCAGCCTGAATCTGGGTTGCCACAACCTGAACTGATTATTCCGCATCCTACATTCTGGCATCAGCAAGAGATCTTGACCTTCCTCTTTGTGACAGCCTTTGAGGGACTTGTAGAGGGATGTCATGTTCCCCCTGCCCCCCAGTCTCCTCTTCTCAAGGCTGAACATGCCCAGTTCCCTCAGTCTCTCCTCTCAGGGCAGTGCTTCCAAGCCCTGGATCATTTTTGCTGCCCTCCGCTGAACCCTTTCCAATTTACCTGCATCTTTCTTAAATCTTGGTGCCCAGAACTAGACACAGTATTCCAGGTGAGGTCTGACTAGTGAGGAGTATAGGGGAACTACTACTTCTCGTGATCTGGAAGTAATACTTCTGTTAATGCATCCCAAAATAGCATCTGCCCTTTTGGTGGCTGCATCACATTGCTGGATCATGGCTAGCCTATTGTCCACAATTACTCCAAGATCTTTTTCTTGTTCGGTTCTGTTGAGCCACGTATTCCCCATCTTGTATCGATGCCTTTGGTTTCTCTTTCCCAGATGAGGGACTTGGCACTTGTCCTGACTGAATTGCCTTCTGTTGGTTTGTCTTAGCTAGATCCTCCAAATGCCCAGTGAAAGGAGGTGCTGAACCAGAGCTCACCCTGTACCGGGCCTCCGGGCGGACCATCATGGACATCCTCGCATGCTGGCTCAGGGGCCGCTTGTATCCCACGGCGGATACTGGCCTCTTCATCATCTGTGGATTCCTGAGAAGGAAGAATGACATCGAATGCATTCCATCTCATGGCCCTGTTCTGTGCAAGCAGCCACTGAGTGTCCCCAAGAAGCTGCAAAGCCTTCCAACATGTAGACCCCACCCTGTGCCACCCAATCTTCGCAACCGCCCTCCCCACTTCTCTTCATAGGTGGCAGCTGCCATTCCTGGCCACTCTGTGACGTGCTGAGAGATGCATGTTTCACCTCTGGCACCCTAAGAAACCTGTGAGCACAGCCTTGGCTGCAAGCAGCTATCGTGAGTGCCAGGTACTGGATGGCTCCTGGGATTTCGGCTGAGGGAGACGGGGAGGGAGAGGGCCTGCCTCCAACGTGTTCCTGCAGCGGAGCAAGCAAGACCCCTCTCTTGAGGGAACAGCGACGGCTGCACAGTCAAGTGTTAGACACTGCTGCTTGCCCGAAGTGCCTAGAGGAGCTCCCAAGCTGCAGTCATGTGAATAATGAAAATAAAAACAGGTTTGTGGCTGTTACGCAGGAGGATGTGCCTTCTTCCTTTGTTCACAGACACCTGGTGTGCTGGAAAACCTTCCCTGCTTTCTCCACAAGGAGGGTTACACTTAGCAAAGTCAGGTGGGATTAAGTCAAAGTCAGGTGAGACGGTGATTTCGTCTTGACAGTGGGCAGAGGCATCTTGTGAAGGGGCTCGGTGTCCCTTGGTTCCTATGGACAGATGCTCTGCGCGGTGCACACGGCTCTCCTTTAAACAAACATTTGCACCAAGAGCCCTGCTGGATCAGACCGAGACCTGTCCAGCCTAGCGTCCTTTCGCCAGTTGCAACCAGCCAGGCGCCCCAGGTGGCGTGCATGGGGGCACGTGCCCAGCAGCCTCTTGCACTGTGTCCGCACATTGATTCTGGGAACCTGCATGTACCTACGGTGGCTAACAGCCGATGGACCCCCCTTGCCCCCAGCCAGAACTGCTCTGCCCCTTCTTGCATGAATGGTCTCTGTGCAAAGAAGAACGGGAATAAAACATGGCCACACCTTGTTGGAAGCAGCGTTTCCGTGAGCCTACACTCCCCGACTCACCACTGAGACCCAGACAAAGCGCATGGCAGAGCACAGCCCGGGGAGGGGAGATGCTCCGCCCACAGGCCTAGCACCACCTGCCCACCCACTGGCTTCCCCAGCCACACCTCCAATCACTCATCAGAGAAGGCAGTGCCCCGCTCCCCATCCAGACTGCACTGAGTTCTTAAGAAACCTAAGTGCCCCTGGGAGGACATTTTGAAAGAGACTGGCGTTGGAGGAGGAGCAGCTCACCCTCCCCTCCCCAGTGCTGTGATCCCCTTGTTGAAAACCATGCTTCCCTCGCTGCGATCAGGCTGGGAAAGCACCAGGCCGCTGTGGGGAGGAGGGAGTCGGTCGGTGTGTCCGTGTGTGGGGGGAAGAACTACGTTGTGAGACCACTCGTCTGTGGCCGGGTTACCGAGTACCACCATGTGGCTCTCGACATGTTTGTCCACAATCCATGAGGGACTTGGCCCAGAAAAAGTGCACTCCGGCCCTGGTGCAGCCAGGGAGGCTCCTGGGAAAAGATTCCCAGCATGTGCTTTGCTGGCCTTTGCACCGTGAGAGCTATCCTGCAGGAACGGGAGAGGACAGATTTCACTCTGCTTGTCAGTCTGTCTAGATTTGCTCCATGGAGCTTCTGAAAAGCAGGCCTGCGCTCTACAGATGTGTCAGCAGATTCTTTCACTGATCACGGGGACTCGCTGTACTTGAAAGGAAGGGGCATGGTGTAAGATCGGCAGACAGGACAGCATTTTTGTTAAATGATTACACTGCAGAAGCAGCTTGGAATTCCCCTGGAGAAGCGATGTTACCCAGCTCTATTTAATTTTTCACTCTCCACAAGGCCATCTGCCTGCCCCTCTCAGTCTGCCCACATTTCCTTGGACTTCGCTCTGACATTATCCTGGAGGCTGGGGAGAGACCTCCCAGCCAGCAGGCTCAATCTTACGTTCTCTGTGTATTGTGATTACTACAAGTGATGAAGCCCCAGGTATTTTGCTGCCCCTGCGATGGGCAACCTAAGGGCTCCCTCCCGCTCGCTTCTTTGCACATTTCAGAGGCTGCTGGCGCGAGGCACATCCATGGAAGAGGATTCAAACACGGCCGTTAGAGATGACGATGCCATGCAGCTGCCAGGCTTCAGCAGCAGAATGTCTTTCTGTACTAGCTGCTGGGCTGCAACAGCAAAAGCAGAGGACTGTTGCGCTGATGTCCTGCTTGTCGGCTTCCCAGCGGAATCTAGCTGGCTGCTAGAGAAGATGGGCCTTCCATATGAAACAGCTGCAGGGCTCTTTTGGCATTCTTACGCAGCCTGTCAAAGCACATGATGTTGTCTGGGCTGCTCGGGCCCAGGCATGCAGCCTGGCTGGGTGCCTCTTTGCACATTATGCCACGGGGAGAGAGCAAACCCCCAAAGAACAGGTTTTATGCACTTATTTTGCATTTCAGATTTTAGAAGAATTCACAGATTGCCCTCCCACCCGACTCAAGTAAGGAGGTCCTGAGGGAGGAGAAAGAGAAGAAAGGGGCACCGAGGAGAAAAGCATCCAGAGGAATTATGCAAGAAGAACCAACGATCACTGAAAGCACTGTGCTGCAGTGTGCGGATGGGGAAGCTTTGACAGGCTCAAGTTCCTGTCAGCTCGGAAGCTCCCTGGGTGACCTGGCTTGGTGGCTGGAGCCATGGAAAGATTACTCTGACCATCTGGGAGAAAGAGCAGCATGAAAACGCAGCTCTCAGTGGATGAAGCTGCTCTTTTCTCCGTGCTCCTTGGCTTACTCCTCCAAAAGCTTGAAGGCAACTCCTGATCAATGTTTTCAGAACGTTCAGGAGAAGCAACCAATTCTGGCTCTCCACTCATGAGAGCTAAAAAGCTTGTGTTTTAAGAGCACGGACATAAACAGAGATGTGCAAATATGAGATGGCTTCCAGATATTATTTAGTGGGGAACAGAAAAATATGGGAATTCCACCACATCACAATCTGTAACATGTGAGCACGGGTGCTTACAGCACAATAGTTACCACGCAGAATTTACGAATGGGGCAATTATAATGCAGGGTAAAACAAAAGTGACAGAGAGCCTGCTGGCGGATACCCTGAGTGGCAGAGCGGTGAGTATAGAGTGTGAAGGAGCAGAAACTCGGTGCCTCTGATGTGGTCCACACCAACTGAGCAATGCACGGCATTTCCCCAGAGCCACTGGAATGGGTTGGAATTGCTGGGAATCTAAATGTTCCAACTTGGGCATGCCCCTTTCCCCGAGTCCTACAGGTAAGCTCAAGAGGGCAACTCACTCCAACCGGGTGATGGGGTGCAGCTTCCACTGATCCTCCTCCTCATCAAAGAACGATCGGTTCATGATCTTGTTTTTCTCTTCCAGGGGAATAAAGTTCTCAATAATCAGGTGCCTGTGGAGATCAATAAAGGGCACAGTAAGCTGAAGATCATGGTGGGGATCAGCTGCTGCATTTCCTACTGGACAACAGCCTAAGAGAAAACACCTCCCGCTGTGGGGTTCGTTCTCTGCTAACTCTGCAGCCCAGGCTGAAGGCAGGAAGGTACAGCTGGGCAACACCTACTTGAGCTTCAGCTCCCGCGTGAGCTCATTCTGAGTTTGCTCCAGTTCTTGTCTTTCTTTGATGTGCTCTTCCTGAAGGTCGTGGATTTCAGCCTTCACTGCTTGCAGCTTGGAAAACAGCTGAAAGGGAGGGTCAGCGTTACAGCGGCCGCATGAAAGGCCGAGTCTGTCTCTGCATCATAATTCACACAAATGAACCCGCTGGGCACTTGCCTGCACCTTGGGGAACAAATGCCAAGTAGCAGTTAAAAACACTGGATTTTAATCCGCTCTGCCATGAAGATTACTGGACAACGAGGGATCGGATTCTTTCTCAGCCCAGCCGACCACACAGGAATGTAGGGAGGAGAAAGTGGGGCAACCCACATCCATGCAGCCGCCCTGCTTCACCGAAAGAAGCATTGGGAGCAAGTGAGAACTGACAGACAAACAAAACTGCCTGGTCACTTTGTCCCATGGCTGAGTAGAGTTTAAACATAGAAACAGGGTGAGTCAGAAGGGGCCTCCCGGGCCATCTTGTCTGACACCCGGCTCCAGCCGGCTCCGCTCACGCCATGCCCACCATGTGCATGTCCAGCCTATCCTTGAACACCCGCACCAATGGGGCCTCAATGACCTCTCGTGGAAGCCCATTCCACCCCCTCGGAGTCCTGTCAGGAAGTGCTTCCTGGCATCCAAATGGAACCTGGATTCCCTGAGCTTTGCTGTGTTGGGGTGCGTCCTGCCTTCCTCTGCAGGGGAGAACCGTCTCTACCCACCTCCGTGTGACACCCCCTCACATACCTGTATGTCGCCAACAGATCCTGAGTCTCCTCTTCTCCAGGCTGAAGAGACCCAGCTCCCTCAGTCTCACCTCATACGGCTTTCCCTGCAAACCGGCCACCAACCTTGTGGCCCTTCACTGCATTGACTCTAACCTGGCTATATCCTTCCTGTAATGAGGGGCTCAAAACTGAGCACAATACTCCAGTTGCGGGCGCACCAGAGTCGCATAGAGTGGTAGCAATACCTCTCTTGATCTAGAAGCCACACTTCTGGCTATGCAACCAAGGGTGGTGTTCACCCTCTTGGCCACCACATCACACTGCTAGCTCATGTTCAGCCTGCAGTCAACCTGCACCCCGAGGTCCCTTTCACAAGTGCTGCTCTCCAGCCACTTGTCACCTAACCTGTACTTATGACACCCATTCCTGTGCCCCAAGTGCAAGACCTTGCACTGATCCACATTGAATGCCATCCTGTTGCCTCCTGCCCACTTCCATAGTCTGTCCAGATCCTTTTGGATCTGGAGTACCTGCTCCTCAGTTGTGGCCACTGCTCCAGTTTTAGTATTGTCTGCGAATTTGATCAGCAGACTGGTCACCCCTTCTTCCATGTCATTGATGAAAAGATTAAACAGGATTGGCCCCAAGACAGAGCCCTGGGGGACCCCGCTTGTCACTGGCCGCCATCCTGATGATTCCCCACTAATGGTTACCCTCTGCTTTCGGTCAGTCAACCATGCCCTAATCCACTGGACAGTGCTTTGGTGTATCCCAAAACTCCTCAGTTTCTCCACCAGGATATCATGGGGCACTTTCCACTGCATCCCCTCCATCTAGCCATCTCGAAACCTTGTCATAGAATTCCACAAGGTTTGTCTGGCAGGACGTGTTTTTGCGGAAGCCATGTTGTGTGGCTGTCAGCCTCCCTTCCCTATCTAGCATCACTAGATCTCTCTCTATTATGAGCCTTTCCATTGTTTTTCCTACAATGGACGTAAGGCTAACCGGTCTATAATTCCCCGTGTCCCTTCTACTACCCTTTTTGAAAATTGGGACCTCTGACGCCACCCTCCCGTCCTCTGGAACCTCACCCGTTCTCCACGAGGCCTCAAAAATGGAGGCCGGGGGCGTGAGAGAACCCCTGCCAGCTCTCTAAGTCCTCTCGGGTGTAACCCGTCAGGGCCTGGCGCCTTTGTAATGTCCAATGCTGGATCTCTAACACAGGTTGCATCCCGGTCCTCCTGAAATGGGCTTCCAGACTTATCTCTGGGTAGGAAACTGACCTCCTACAGCAGTGAAGAGTTACAGGCCAAGCTAGGAGTCTTGAACTGCACACCAATCTGCTATGGGGAGCAGAAGAAAGCTGGCCAACGCCCTGGCTCCTGGCGGGCTCAGGCTCAGAAGATGCAGAACTGGCATGCAGCGGGGCCTGATCATGATCGTCAACACGGGACTTGAGGACTTTCGGTCCCGCTGTGATGAAAAGGCCCTGCTTCTTCCTTGGCAGCTTGGCTAACGCACTTCTACCACGTGAGGAAGCCTCGCCACCTTTCCTGAAGGACGGAATGGAAGGGAGCGCTGGCTTTGGCCAACACATGGGAGGCGCCCGGCATTCCTCTTCCCAGCAGCAGCTGAGGAAGCCCCCTCGCTTCCTCTCGCTGTTCCTGAGCAGGAGGTGGGGGCTGCCTGTGCCCAGCTGGCCGGGCACAACCCAGGCACCAAGCTGCCTATTCATTTCCAGGGGAGTCAACAAGAGAATTTTCCACATCGCCCTGGCTGGCACGAGAGGATATCTCCCACATTCCAGTCCATGTCATCCCAGAGCGCTGCAATCTCATCTTAGACTTCGACATCGTATTTTACTGGGACGTTCAAGACTTCATGCTCTCCGCCTTTAGCAAACCTGCTCACCTTTTTCAGCTTCTTTGTTTTAATGTCCACCTCCTGCTGCAGGGAGCTGTATGTCTCTTTCAGCTCCAAAGTCTCCTCATCCCGACTTTCCATCTGCTGTTGGATTTCTCGCTCTCGGCGTTTCTGCACGAGAAAAGAGAAGGATGCGGCATCCACTCGGCACCCAGGGCTTAAGCACCAAAAATGCAACAGTGCTTTGGCTGGAATTTAGCACTGCTGGGATACATTTCAATAGTTTGCAACAGAAAACATCTGCACAAGGTATTTGAAACTCGACCAGCCCAATCTTTTCATACCGTTTTAAGCCATTTAAATGAGGGGTGCAGAGCCTCAGTCAAGGAAGGGTAAATATGGCCCTCCGGGGTTCCCCTGATGGCAGTACCTTTTCCTGGCTCCACTTCCAATTGTTTGGTGTTTTCCTGACCCACAGTGTCTCCCCCAAGGTTCAGTTAATGGCAGTAAGAACCTAAGAGTTAAGTACGCTGGTATTTTGGCCCTGGCTCCTTTGACGTCAGCCCCACGCAAAATGGAATTCAGTCCATAGGCTCAAAGAGATTCAGTGCACTCGATTTAAGTGGAAAACATTCCAGGTGGGAGGATTTATGGATTACCTGCGGAGAGAGCTGGGGCCTGCTCTTGCACGTATTTCCATGGAAGTAAAGCACCAAAGACTTAAATGGGGTTACTTCCAAGTAATGGTACAATAGGCAACGCTCTCGCATTCTTAGCTTTCTCGCCTTAAAAGAGTGGAAACTTAGGAACTTCATGTGCGTCATCAGGAAAACAGAAAGGGAGGAAAAACCGCCACCCACTGAGAACTTCCTTGGGACACGCACCTTTGGAATGCAAGGGGCTTGCAAAAAAGCCTCAGTTCACCTGGCTAAATGGAACCTCCTTATTCAGGGGCAATATTGCTCTGAATATGAGTTGCCAGAAACCACACGGAGAGGGGACTGCTGCCCTCCTGCCCACATGTGGCCTTCCCTAAATGGGCCTGGTTGGCCACTCCTAGAAATAGCATTTAAGGACTTGTCTATCACAGCCCCCTGAGCTCCCTGGTGTCCTGCCCCAGCAGGGGCTGAACTCAATGGCCTTCATGGCCCCTTCCAACTTGGCTATTCTGTGATTCTATATCCATTTCACAGACACTTGTCCAGGAAACTCTCCCAGTGAATTTTAAGCAAATAGTGCAGATATTCTCTTTAATCCACATGGGACCAGTCAATGCACCAGGCTTCCCAAGGCCACAACACGGCACTTCTCAACAGGGTCTGGAAGTAACGCTGTTACAACAAACCAAGCCTTCTCTCTCACCTGCTCAGCAATCTCCTGCCGCTTCTGTTCCAAGATTTTCTGCTGCTCGTTTGTGTGATCAACAATATTTTTCCCTCCAACAAGAAGTTTGCTTTCCATTGCCTGAAAAGCAAGAAGTGAGGAAGAAGAATCCTTGGAACCACGCACTGCAGAACCTCACTATTACTTGCCTTTAAAAAAAACCCTCTAACACAGTTGTCACGTGACCCACGCCTTACGCCAGCTTTCCCCAGTCTGGCACTCTCCACATGTCCCGTATCGTTATTCCCAGCATATCCTGACAGCACGGCCGGTGCTGTGGGTGGTGGAAGTTGAAGCCCAAACCATTCTGGACAGCACCAGGTCAGGGCAGACTGCTTTACACAGGCATCAACCTCTGGCTCATTGTGCCAAGACGGATCCATTCTGACTTGTAATGGCGTTTCAAATCTGCAAGGGCTTTTTGGAATTGGAAGTGTGAAGGAATTACCTAGACTTACCAGACACATAAAAAACCTGCATTCAACCACTGAGCTAAAGCCCTTCCCAAAATATATCTTCTCTTTTACATGAGGCTTTCTCTGTACTTGGCTAACCATGCACTTAGATCAGTTTAGCTTCCTCCTTTTATCAGGCACTTTTAATAGAAATCACATTAAATGTTAAGTCAGAAGAAAACGCTTTTCGTTGCTCATCCTACGTATCTGGCTGAACAATACCCAAAGAGGAATCTGTTCCACATTTAACTCAAAAAGATGCAGTGGACACTCTGGGGTCAAGGAGGAATCAATACATTAAGAATGGAGGTGGAGACAGAGCTGGTGCGGTGTAGTGGTTATGGACTGGGACTCAGGAGATTTGGGTTCTAGTTCCCGCTCAGCCACAGAGCTGACTGGATGATTCTGGGCCAGACACAGACTCTCAACCCAACCTACTTCACAAGGTTGTTGTAAGATAGAGTGAGAGAAGGAAATTTGTGTAAGCAGCCTTGAGTGTCTTGGAAGGAAAACAGCAGAATATAAATATAATAAACAAACAAGCACTGGAAGTGACAGAACAATACAGTGAAGTATCTGCCCTGTACCAATTGCAGGCTGCAGGGTTCTGGCCATGAATGGCTTGAAAAGGACTTCCAATGACATTGTCACAACCATCGCTTTTAAGTAGATCTACAGGAACCTCTGCATGCCTGGAATTTTAACGCACAATGTGACACATCAGGAAGCCTGCCTTGCCCCACTTTTCTGCGCCCACAGAACTCAGCACGAAGCGCCTTACCTTGATTTTGGCACCCAGCTTTTCAGCAGCTTCTTTCTCGCGTTTCAGATCTTCCATCTTTTTCTCCTTCTCCTTCAGCAATCTCATCTTCTCTTCGGCGACCAAGCTGTGATCTTCCAGAATGGCCTTCTTCTCAATCTCCAGCTTCTCTTGCTGCTGCTTCCAGTAGTCATCTTTGTCTCCCCCTTCCTCATCACCCTCTTCACCATCGTCCTCTTCCTCGTCGTCCTCCTCTCCACCAACACCAACACTTCCATCCCGCCGCCGCTCTTTCTTCTTCCTCTTCCCAACAGAACGCTTCTCCAGCTGAGCCTTGAGCCGAGCAATTTCCTCCTGGAATTCCCGCAGCAGAGCATCCTTGGGATCTTCGTTGACTCTTGGCTTGTTCTTGATGTTCTTGGCACGGTTGGCATACCGGAGGGTGGTGAGGGTTTCCTCCACGTTGTATGAGGCTGGGCCAATGTTGGCCACCATCACCGTCTTGGCGTTGCCGCCCAAGGAATCCTGAAGCAGCCGGGTTAGCTTTGAGTCCCGGTAGGGAACATGGGTGCTTTTGCCGTCCACCAGGGCAGAGATGACATTGCCCAGGGCAGAAAGGGAGAGGTTGATCTTGGTGGCCTCCTTCAACCTCTCTCCCTGGGCTCCAGTCTTAGACTGGCGCTCACTGCCGGCGAGGTCCACGAGGTTCAGTTTGCCAACCCGGATGTGGTTCTCCCCGTCAAGCCCCACCTCGCTGCATTCAATGGTGATCACAAAAATGGCATGGGAACGAGAGCTGTGCTCGTTCATATTGGTAGCTCCCACGGAACGATTCTGGTTCCCCACATTCATGACGTGTTCTATTTCCTTGACGCTCTTGGTGACGAAAGACGACAGGTCCTTCACATACACGCCCGTGTCCGGCCGCTCCTTCAGCTCCAGCCGCCTGGACTGATCCTTTGACAACAAGTCCCTGATCTCCTCCTGGTAGATCTCCAGATAAGAAGCCCTCACAAGGTATTGCTGGTTCTGAGACCGGGAAATGTGGGTGAAGATGTGGTCAAAGGAATTGGGGATGACCCCTCTTTTCTCAGGGTCACCACGCACACCTTCCATCGTGTATGTTTTCCCCGTCCCGGTTTGCCCGTAGGCAAAGATGGTCCCATTGAACCCCTGCAGCACAGAGTCCACCAGGGGACGGAAGGTCTCATCATAAAGTTCAAACTGTTTGGAATTCCAGTCGTAAACAGCATCGAAGGTGAAAGTCTTTGGCAGCTCATGAGATGCTCCCTTGGGGTTCTTCACTGACACCTGCCCCAGCTTGACATCTACCTGGACCACCTGTTCATAGGAGGCTGCTTTCTCTTTGCTGTTCATTGGCCGGCATCGCACCACGACTCTGACCGACTCCGAGCACTTTAGCTTCGACATGACAACGGGTTGGTGCTAGGGAAACGGATGGCAGAACCAGGACGGCCAGGGCTTTTTCCAAAGCTACAACGAATCAAATACAGTAATTGGACATGGTGGTGTCAGAAGACAATAAACAGCCAGGGCAGCTCTCTGGAGACAACATTTCAGGCCCCAGCTCACCCTCGAATGCCTTGGGTGGGCTCGAGCAAGCCAGGTTCACAAAAATCCCAACTGTAAGGTTAAAAACATAGTGTTGGTGTGAAATACAACTGCAATAAGAAATAACAACATATAAGGTAAATGTTTTGCCAAAATGGATGAAATATAGTGTTTCATGGTGTTTTCTATTATCCTTCATTATTATTTGTAAGTCAAAGCAAATGTCCTTTAGCTGAAGTTTCCACACATTCTCCAATAGCTTTGATTAAAAATCAGAAACACCACTTTTCAAAATTCGATCAACAATGGCTACCTTGCTCCAGAACAAACACATACATTAATTGCAACATGTAACTATACTGCCTCAGTGTGAAGCCATCTGGTAGCAGCGGCAGGCATCTTCTAGAAAATCTTGAACCTGGAAAAAATCTTGAATTCAGATCCTTTCCCTAGGAGGATTTTCAGTTTGCATCAGAAAATTATCAATTATCAAGTTGCATTAGAGTAATACTAAAGGATGATTCAATTTAAGATGATTACTAAGTACAAATAAAATAAGCAACTATGCAAAAAAGTTACTTTTTGTCTCAATACATAGACACAGCATGCAACCTAAATTCGAAGAATAGCTATATTAAGTAATTTTTTATTGGAATACTTGTAAATAAATAAAGGTAATAGCATATATTCCCCTTACTGCTCAAAGGCACGAAAACAGAGGTACTGAAAATTGCAGACATATTACTGCAGCCTTCTCTAACCTGGTGCCTCCCAGATGTGCTGGGGTGAACAACCAGTATATACCAGTCAGCCAGGAAGGCAGCAGGTTGGGGAACTCTGCACAAATACATCCAGCAACCTAAGGGACGGCGAAAGACCTGCTGAGAATCACCCGTCTATTTTACCAGAGTTCAACACTCTTCCATGGCGGTTGCTGGGGCACCTTCTGCATTCTCTCACATACTCACCAGGGATAATCATCTGAAAACATGAACTGCAACTTTGAAATGGCCACGCTTGCCTCATTTTGTATTTGCAACTGTCCCCCATTCATCGCTACTAAGGACCTTATGAAACAGAACACCTTCCATGGAAAAATAAAGCCCCGGGAAACGTTCTGGTCTGGACACACGACACGACAGAAAATAATGGCAAGAAAAAGATCTACTGGGTATATCAAGGTATGTATATATGTCCTTTCAAAAATGAGTATGAGAGCATGGACTCCCTTTGCTCTTTGTTAAAGGGCGATGGCACAACTGGAGGGTGGCCGAAACCGGGGCACTGGCGAACGGCACGTATTTCCGCCTGGCAGTGGTCCCAGCCACAGGCAATGAACAGGCACAGAGACTGGCTGGTGATCGGTCTCATACTTTCATGCATAAATACACAACGGCTAGTCTGGCATTCTTTATCAAACCAAGCCTGATATTCAAAATAGTATGAAAGTTTGAACAAAACAGGGAAACAATTGCACACAAAGAAATGAAAGCCAGAGAAAATGGGAAACGTGAGAACTTTTGCAGTACCTGAAGAATGCCAGGTCGAGCAGTCCAGTTCTCACATGCAACACAGAGGTCATGATCCTCGGAGCCTGCCTTTCCAGAGAAACAGCTGCACAAATGAATATGCTTGCCTCAGCCAGCTGACTCTGCCCGAGGAGGGGTCTACGGGGCAGGGCAGTGCGAGGTCACAAACCTCCCCCGCAGGAGGGAATCACAACCCTTTTGTCCTTCCCTCCCTGCAGTACCACTGTTTTCTCTGCCTGAACTTTTAACGGCATGAAGACAGACGGCACCTATTTCTATTCCTATGGCTTTATCACACAGACAACCCTGGGGGTGGATCAGGCTAACCAAAGCCACCAGATACGTTTGGGTACTGAGTAAGAATTCAAAAGTGGATCTCCTGGTTCAGGCCCAGCACTAACTAATCAGAGTTCTGTGAAAGTGAAAGCGGTATCCTGGATTTCTTTTTTCCATTTTGCTTTTTTTGGAGGCTTATATACCTCAACTCAAATACTGGCTCTGAATAGTTAGTTACTTCCTTGCTACACAGCAGAAGGTGCAGAGAAGTCTAAACATTTTCACCCCACTGTGACTATACTACACAGTCTTCAGAATGCTCTGGAAAATACTGGTTTCCATCCTCTAAAGATTTTGTTGTTGTTGCTAGTTGCGAAGTTGTGTGAACATTCCTCCAGGCCTTCCTGTCCTCCACCAGCCCCCGGAGTCCACCTAAGCTCACGTCGACTGCCTCAGTGACCCCATCCAGCCCCCTCATCCTCTGCCGTCCCCTTCTTCTTTTGCCATCTATTGTTCCCAGCATTAGGCTCTTCTCCAGGGAGTCCTTCCTTCTCATGAGGTGGCCAAAGTATTTGAGTTTCATCTTCAGGATCTGGCCTTCTAAAGAGCAGTCAGGGTTGATCTCCTCTACGACTGACCGGTTTGATCGCCTCGTGGTCCAGGGGACTCGCAGGAGTCTCCTCCAGCACCACAATTCAAAGGCCTCAATCCTTTGGCACTCAGCCTTCCTTATGGTCCAGCTTTCACAGCCATACATTGCAACTGGGAAAACCCTAGCCTTGACTATACGCACTTTTGTTGGCAGGGTGATGTCTCTGCTTTTTAGTATGCTGTCTAGATTTGCCATAGCTTTCCTCCCCAGGAGCAAGCGCCTTTTAATTTCTCGGCTGCAGTCTCCGTCTGTGGTGATCTTGGAGCCCAGGAAGGTAAAATCTGTCACTACCTCCATTTCTTCCCCATCTATTTGCCAGGAAGTGAGAGAGATTTGCCATGCTCTTAGTTTTCTTAATGTTGACTTTCAAGCCAACTTTTGCGCTCTCCTCCTTCACCCACATCAAGAGGCTCTTTAGTTCCTCTTCACTTTCTGCCATTAGAGTGGTATCATCTGCATATCTGAGGTTGATATTTCTCCCAGCAATCCTAATTCCAATTGGTGATTCATGTAGCCCCGCCTTTCTCATGATGTGCTCTGCATATAAATTAAATAGGCAGGGTGACAGTATGCAGCCTTGCTGAACTCCTTTCTCAATTTTGAACCAATCAGTGGTTCCGTGTCCAGTTCTCACTGTTGCTTCTTGACCCGCATAGAAATTTCTCAAGAGACAAATAAGATGGTCTGGTACTACCATCTCTTTAAGAACTTGCCACAGTTTGTTGTGATCCACACAATCAAAGGCTTTAGCATAGTCATTGAAGCAGAAGTAGATGTTTTTTCAGGAACTCCCTAGCTTTCTCCATGATCCAGAGCATGTTATTGGCCAGAATGACAACGTTACAAAAATGCATGGCTGGAACTGAAAACAGCAACTCCTTGCCTCTTTCTCTCCCTCCATAAATTATGTGCTGTGCTAGAAGATGCCTGGCACATCATCATCTCACCTCACACTTCCTCCTCTGCTTCTTGAATTGCAGCTTGTGGGGGCAGGGAAACTCAAAAGAGTGCAATGACTTTTTGCAGCAATGCATGTTACCAGGGAGGGGACCAGGCTGACAAGGAGACCTTCTCCGAGGGGGCTGCCCTGCAGAAGGCTGAGGATGCCACACAAGGTCACTGAATGGGCCTTGATGCATCTCTCCAGGCCACAGTGCAGCCAAAGGAAACTTCTCCACCTGGGAGGTAGGTCTTCCACCATCATCAGGCTCTGCTGAAGAAGGTAACAGACAGATTCTTTTGTATCTGTCTCACACACATACCTGGCTCCCTGCCCTGGAGCTCTTCTGAGTCCTGGAGAATCACTACCAGGAACTGCTGCCCTGCTAGATGACTCCAGCTGAAGTCATCCAGGTCCCTCCAGGCCTTGCCCATGCCCTGTGGTCCCATGGCCAGGAGGCATGCCAAGAAAGGCCGCTGCTGCCGGTGGAGCAGCACTGCTGTTGTGGCCTTTTGCAAGCTGTGCCCTCCAACCGTGTTGGACTACAGCCCCCATAATTCCCAAGGCAAAATTGCACAGCTTAATTATGTCAGGGCTGCCTAGAACACAGCCCTGGCATCTGCTTTCCTTGCGAATCTGAGCCCTGGAACATTAATTCAGGGTGGATGGAAGGCCTCTCCCTCACTGCTGAGTAACTACAGAACAGCTTGTCGCACATCAGTGTTTCGGTGAAAGGGCTTCTAGATCAGAGGACAGGGGCTTCCAGGCCGACTCAGCTGCTTCTCCTAGAAATCTCCTAGACTCACCTTCACATTGTCCTTAATCTCTGTACTTGAAAGGCCAATGGGAGAGTCAAGAAGCTCAAGGACAGATAAACGTCTATTCCAGCACTCTTGCTAGCAAAAGACAAACTCACAAGGAGATGCTTTCGCAGAGCACATAATAAGCACACCGGGCAAGGGTTCCTACAGCTCCAGCAGAAAATGTAATACTGTCTGTTTACACTCCAGAACAACATGCCCCTGCCTGCACTCTTTACAACCTGGCCTAAAGGTTGCTGCACAAGGAACCCTGCACTAACATGCATGAGCGACATTTAAAATCAACAGCTTAAGGTCTTCTCCGGCCCTTGGAAGATTAAGCAATACATTCACCACGCTTCCTATCTCTGTGCTGAGAACAGAGCTCAGGAGTGCAAGTATAGGAAATTCAAGGGGCCAGTGGAATCCATAAGCCACATGCACGCGCACGCACCCATCCTCCTCCACCCACATCTCCGTGGCAGTGATACAGATGAAAGCCTCTCCCACCCACTGCCGGGAACATCACTGCTTCAACCACCTCCTCATCAATGCCAGGATTTGCTGGGAAAGGAAAGGCTGAAGCCCCTCCAGCCCCCCAGCGCGGTCTTGGGAGCACCCAGTTTGCTGGGAGGAAGCCCCGTCCAGTGACCCCCATCAGGATCCTAGTCCCAACCCTTTGGCATCAGAAGCATGCTGTGGCTTTCTTTTATGCTCCAAACTGCATGCACCTAATATGTAAATCAACTGCAGCTAACCGGGGCCTGAGCCGACGCAGTTGCCCACCAGATTCTGGACACCACTTTGTCACAGCCCTGCCCAGAAACAGCACTCACTCTTATGAAAGCCAAAGCAATTTGGCCAGATCCCA